GGACTTCTACGTGAAAAATTTATGTATCCATACGTAGAGTAGTAAGCTTCATTGTGTAATTATTGCTTTTGACCACTTTATCTGATTGTAGTTTTGTGTGTGAAGGAAGATATATTTTTATTTATATGCTTTGTTTTGTAGGAAGAAAGATATTTACTGCAGTTTTTTCAAGCATATGGCAAAATGATAGGAGCCTCTTGGCCAATCGCCGCCTGCTTTATTTCATAAACCAGTATTCAACTCTGCGCTTATTTTTAAGTATTTATTTCATAAACCAGTATTCAACTCTGCTTTATTGTTGGACGATAATTTAGAAATTTTTGTTGTAGAACTTGTTAATCTTATGCTCTTATTTTTAAGTATTTAATGAATCCATTTTCTGAGCATTCTTTGTGTGTTTACATCTAGGTTGCTATCCCAGTGGTTCGTACTATCAGAGTAATTGTCATGTTCACAAAGCTTGAAGAATTAGCGCCAATGGATGAGTTTGCAACACCGCCATCAAGCCCCCCGGAAGGGAGAGCCCAGGTTCGATGCAATCGTCAAGTTTCATCTTGGTTTCAGTGGATAAAAGCTCCTTACCAGCGCTCTAGCTCGTCAGCTACTGGTTCTTTCAGTATGATAGAAAGTATTCAAGACCCGTTTGCAATTCCGTCAGAATATGCATGGGTTTCTGTGGAAGCAAAGAAAAAGAAAATGAGGAGAAGAACAAATCAAAAAGGGGAAAAGTCAGAGTCACCAAAAATGAGGTGAGTGAGGGTGGAAACGAAGACCCAAATGTGAAGAGGATTGATTTAGCTCACCAAAAGGAACTCAGCAGATACCAAATAGAGAGAATAGTATTTCATTATTCCGCAATTTCGCCATACTGTAAGTGTTGGATTTATCAATATAAATCAACCTTTAAGTGGTCTACTACATGTAATAGGAATGTAATATTGGCGAAATAATGTTGATTATGATTAGATCTCTTAAAGATATTAATCCTATATCATGTGTCTTATATTGGAAATAGGATTCATGGAATCCTTAATTGACTATAATTATAATACTTAACTTAGAGGCTAAAAAAGTAAGTTTAGGTTTCCTTTATGGATGGAAACCCTAGCTTTTAGCCTATATATATAAACACCGGTCCCTATAAGCCCTAGAACACACAACATAATACTTCCCATAGAGTAGTTGTATTCGGCTAGGCGTTTATAGAAGATCTTGGTGTTGCCGTGCTCTACTACTTTTGTGTTCGACTTCCATGGCCTCCATTGGAATCAGGTTAGTCACTCCTTCGTTTGTGTTTTAATCGTATAACCTTATGTAAGGCTAATAGTAAGGAGAAAAAAAGACTTATGTTAGAGAAGGTTTCGGGTTGGTATACAAGTGAATTGTCGTCGTCGTTTCTCAAGTGAAAAGTTGAACTGGTATTATTGTGGGGGTGGTGTTTAGGTTAATATTTAACTTTGGACTTCGACGAAAGAAAGCCCAAAAGAGCTTAATAAAGGAGATTTTGCCCGAGGCCCAGAGTCAAGCCTAGATACCCCTCTCAAGACAATATGACGGCTCCCCATTTAATGCAAAGGCTAGGTGTTTACAAGAGAAGTGACAGCCAATGGAAATCCACCTACTCCCAGCCCAAAAGCACTTTCTGAATGGGAGAACATGTAAAATGCTGATGACTCACTACTCTTCAGTCACTTTCAGGTAAGAGCAGAAGTAGTACAGTCAGGTTAATTCGCCTATAAAAGGGGGAAGAGGGCCCAGAGATAAAGATACTCAACCAATCAAACAAACAAACATACAACTTGCCTCTCAGTCAAGCAAATACCCAGAAAACTGCGCTTTGTCCAGATTAGCCTTAGACTCCCCTTAAAAAGACATCTTTTGTCTAGTGTAAAAGCTCTGCTACCATTTCTAAATGTTGTAGTATCGATTCTCTTATGTAAATTTGTTCACCACTCATCCTGCTTTAATACCCAACCCCTTGTAACTACAAAGAGAAGAGACCGCAAGACGTTTGAACCTGGCCCGACTCTTTTTGTTTTGTCTTTAAGTTAATAGATCTGGTGTTATGATGTATTCCCCAGTATATATTCAAGTCATTTCCAGTCTTTTGATGAACCAAAGTTCCATCAGTTCTCAAACCTGGTTTATTTAGTGGTTACTGTCAAAAGAAGACTAAATATGATTTAAACTAATGACTTGATCAGATCTGGACCTCTACCCTTTAAGCATACAAGATAACCAACTAAAATTCCTTGATTTCAAGGCATAGAAAAGAACTTAATGTAGACTTAACTCATCTATGACAATCCTTTGATAACAAGAAGTCAGAATAACTTGGGGCGCAAGTAATCGGCTTAAATACACTTGTTCTACATCTGCCATACTGAGATGGCAGTGGCACGCCTAAGCACTCAGTTAGTTTTGATTGTGAGCCTCAAGACCTAAGGCCCACGAAGCCACCTTTCAAAACTAACTTTGTCCTCCTCTTGCAGCATCTCGGCAAACCAGAGCCCGACAATCAACCAAAGTGCCAACTCCTCAGGGAGCTGTGTGCTCGAGTCAGGGACCCCTCCTAGCGAGATTTCCTGCTCGAACAGGTGGGAACAAAATTTAGGAAAAATATTGTGACTCTTGCTACAGATGGTTTGATCACCTTAATTCATTTGATTTGCATATAAGGGGGTTATTAATTCAGAACATACTCAACAGTCAATAGTGGCTGCTTTTTACTCTTCGAAAATTTGGAATGGAGGCAGAACCTTGTAATAATTCATTTGATTTGGTTTTTAATCAATTCTAATATTTACTTTTTTTTCTTTCAATTTTTACCCTTTGCTTATATTTCTTCTCAAGAGATCTATGTCAGAAAGAGAACGAGTAGCAATTTGGGATGACAAGGACTTGGATTTCTAGCGTAACCATTAAACCAGGAGTGAGGATCCTCGCTAGATCCTCTTTGTGAGGATTCCGGGAATTCTCCAATCACATCCGTTTATCGTACTTTGTACGATCAGTTTTTGTCAAGTATTGTTTATATTCAATTTTAAATAAAAAAAATTACAATGATTTTTTACCATACGATGTATGATGAACATATGTGATTGGAGGATCCCTATGGTCCCCACAAAGAGGATTCGATGAGGATCCTCCTGGATTAAACCAGAACCTAGTTATAGAAAGTGCTTTTATTGGTAAAACACTTTTTATTGAAAATCCAAAGTACTTTCTAAAGACGCTTCTACGATCTAGAAGCGCTTAATGTGGTCAGAAACATTTTTATTTCTAAAATGTACTAAGTTTTTAACCATCAATATCATATAATGGAGTGGGAGGATGAGGAGGATTTGGGAGTGAGAGAAACGAAGCTTCATTTGCTTTCACCACAACTGAAATTATTACCACAAGTTTCCTCATAATTTTAGTCTTTTACTAAGAGCAAGACAACAAACAATATCTCTTCAAATTCCTTCAATCATTTTTCAATTTAAAATCCCATTGTTCATTAACCAATTCATTCTAATCCAGTCCAGTATTTTCAATGCTATTGTGAATCTCTGTCACCAATATCGACAATTATTTTCTTACTCTCATTCTCTCCATTTGAAGTTCTTCACTTTTTCCCTAGCCTTTCAACTCAATAAATCAAGGGAGAAACAATAAATATAACAAGAAGATGACCTGTGGAGTAAAAAATAATCCAAAAAATTATAGAGGTGACACATGAACTTTTAGGTAAAAAAGACAAAATTACTCTCGAGGCACATCGGGATTCCCACACGCATGCAACGAACAATAACGGCTCAATCAAGAAAGAGTCAAAGGTAATCAATATGGTATTTATTCAAACCCCTCTCATTACTCCTCATCAATCCCTTATTGATTTTATTCAAAAGATAACTCTCAAACTTCATATTCAATTTAGGAATAATTGTCATGTTAATTGCAAGATATTATTTCACATAATATCTTGCAATTATTCTCCACTTACCACCATATATGGCCGGCTATTCCTCCACCAATAGGGTTGGCCACCCTCCTATAAATACCCACTATTATCCCACTAAAATGGCAAGCCATTTTGGTATCCACAAACTCCAAAATACATTCTTTTTAGAATTCTAATTTTGGCATTAGGGATTCTTCGGCCAAGGCCCCCCTCCCCCATTCATCGTGGGAGTGTGAGGCTTTTGTCCTTAATCTTAGGTGTTATTATTTTGCAAGTGTATTTTCGTCAAAGGAGAAGATGGCGGAAATTTGCATCCACAAATTGGTGCTTTCATTGAGAGCTTGATTCACACGCTCGAATTGGTGCTTTCATGGCAATCATTCCCAAATTATTCACAAATTGGTGCTTTCACGGTTAGGGCACACTCTGATAATTGACATGGACATCCTTCTAGGCGAAGTGTTCATTCGTGGCTAGACCCATAAGGAGCATTCTCCACCCTACATTGGAGTAGGCAGCATGACAGACGGATAGAAGTAGTCACTCAATCAGGCTAAAGTTTAATCGGCAGCCTACGAGTAATATGCTCGCTTGCCAGAAACGTACCACCTGCATCGCAGCCATGGCATAGACGAGCCGAGCACATGAAAGAGTAGCCTAGACCAGCAGGTCACAACCGGGGGCAGCCGAAAGATCTTGACTGAACAATTGCGCGATTTCCAACGCAACGAAGTCACTGACGAAGTGCTATGACGAGACATAACCAACATAAGTAGGTCACCTTTCTTAGTTCCACACCCTGCCGCCACAATTCATTCGGAGTTTCGATGAGCTTTCTTTGGTTTTCACCAAAGAGTATTCATCCTATCGCTCGATCAAGAAGAAGTCCGACCACTTGTTTAATTTCCAGAAGAACCTAAAGGAGTCACTCTACGACTATGTGAAAAGGTTCAAAGTAGAGAACGCGAAGATAGTCGAATGCAAAAACCAGATACCTAGTGCAGCCTTCCAAAAAAGACTCCCTAAAGACCACCCGCTATTCGAAGAATTTATCATGGGAGAAGATTTAACTCTGGCAGACTTATTCGATATGGCAGAGAAGCATGCATTTTGGGATGAGGCTCAGCGAGCAGACAAGGACCTGAGCAGCCTTGGAAAGAATCGGCAGTAGCTCAAAAGAAAGAGGACGGATAACACCAAAAGTAGGTAGGAGGCCAAGTGTAGGGACTGATCCTTGACTAAAGGAGGCCTGACACCCAAAAACTATTTGAAGTTCTCGATCCTGATCCACCATATCCTCCGCGACATCAAAAGCGAATCATGGTTCAAGTTGCTAAAGCAATCAAAGGGAGATACCTCTAAATTGGAGCACACCAAGTACTGCACATTTATCGAGGTCCCAGTCACACAACCGATGATTGCTACACTTGGAGGAACTACCTAGAGAATCTAGTGAAAGAAGGCAAGGTTGACAAATACTTGGACAAGCTAGCTGCACAGCCTAGAAGGAATGCAGATGTCGACGAAGAACCACTAACCAAGACAATTCTGACCAATGGCATTTTTCACCGATCCAAGGACTTGGGGACCACTAACAACTCCAAGAAGAGGAATATCCAGCAGGCTTTATTAGTCTCACTGGTCCAGGCAGTCGACACTTAACCTAGACCTATTGTTGGCTTCACCGAGCAGGATGCTAAAGGTGTTGACTTCGCACACGACCATGCACTAGTGATATCTGTCCAACTAGCCAATGTTATAGTCGACAGAATGATGGTTGATAACGGAAGTGTGGTCAACCTACTTCAGCTCTCAGTAATTCAGAAGAAGGTTCTGGAAAACATAATCATATGCCAAGCAGAGGTATTCACCGGATTCATTGGACACACCTCGACTACCATTGGCAACATTACACTTGACGTGAGAACACCACCAGTTGTCTCAAGGCAAATGTTCACGATAATAAGCGACCTATCTCCCTATAATGGGATTCTAGGGTGACCTTGGTTGATAAAGTTGGATGTCATAACCTTCGTCAATTATCAAAAAATCTGATTATGCATCTCGTGAGGAAGAAAAGGAGAAATCAAGCCTGACCAAGCCATATCTTGACAATGCACTGTGCAAGTGCTGAAGGAGTCAAAGAAGAAGACATTTACCCCTGTAGAGGCTACCAAAGTTCAAAGGGACGACGACACTACCCAATAACAATTACAGCAAATGGATCAAGAAGATGGTGTCCAAATCAATGCGCCAGCAGATGAGACGGGATGGAAACCCAAAGAGGATGTCGGGCACATCATTCTTGATCCCCAGTAGCAGGAGCAAAATAACTAGAATCGGCTCACGTCTGAGCCCGAAGGAAAAAAAAAAATAAAGGAGTTCATGGTTTTCTATAGGGAAAATTATGACATCTTCGCATTGTCACCTTCTGAGATGCCCGGCATCGACCCGAAGGTAACTTGCCATAAGCTGCACGTCGAACTTGCTGCCAAACTGGTGATCTAAAAGAGTGGCAATCATTAAAGTGGAAATTGACAAGTACTGAAGGCCAGATTCATAGAAGAGGGTGCAGCGAGACAAATGGGATGATAAGTACCAAAAAGCTTTCCAAGACCTAGAGAAGTATCTCACATCACCTCCCTTACTATCTAAGCTGGAAGTAGTGAATGACTTATACATCTACTTAGCAGTCTCAGAAGTAGCAGTGAGCTTTGCCCTCAGACGAGAAGAGCTAGGCGCCTAACTGCTAGTATTCTACACTTCTAAAGCTCTTCTCGATACGGAAACCAGATATCCGAAGATTGAGAAATTGATTTTGGCACTTGTTGTTGCGGCTCGAAAGCTCAGACCATATTTTCAACCTCATGTAGTCATCGTCATGACTCAATATCCTATAAAATCAATCCTACATGGTCCAGATGCTTCTCAACAAGTAATAAAATGGGCATTGGAGCTTGGCCAATACGGCAAGTTTACAGACCTCGCATGGTGATTAAGGCCTAAACCTTGGTAGATTTCATAACAGAATTCACACCTAACCTAGGCGACGCAACAGTGTGGCCCAACGACACCCCGAAGGCAACCGAGCACGCCATAGCCATGCCTGCCTCACCCGATGGTGACTTCTAGCATTTGCACGTTGATGCACATCCAACTACAAGGGCTCTGGAGTAGGCGTGGTCCTAGTCACCCTACCATGAGGCCTTCGAATGGCAATAATAATAGAGTAGTGCTATCCACACACCCGTTTTAATTTTCGGCTGTACGATTGAATGAATTGAAGAAGATCAATAGTCAAAATTAAAAACGGTGTATGAGAGATAAAAATATATGTTGAGTAGTACTTTCGTAATTATAAGCACCAGAGCAATCCAGCACTTACCAAAGAAAGTATAGACTCCTTAATTTCCACATGAAACTAGTTTACCACCAATTTACTCGTAAGGGTATGTTTTAAGAATTCAAGCAAAGATCATTCTTGTGGAAAAATTAGCCAAAATCTCTAGCATAACAAATTTTAATTAAAAACAAAGCTGATCAATATTCTGAATTCCAAAAATTGTCTAAATTCAAAGACAACATAATCACAAGGGTAATGCTTGGGAGACTAAATTTGTAGATAAAATTTTGTAAACTACATACATGGAAGTTAACGGTTGGATTATTATTTAAGCATTAATAAACGTGCTCATTTCTGTGACAACCCATCCCTGCCTTTAAAATTTTCTTAATTTTAAAAGTGTGAATTTACGAAAATGCCCTAGAGGCGAAGGTTTTGACTTTCATTGACCAACGTGTAGTGAGACGTATTGAATATTCTTTTAGTGTACTCCTGAAGTACTCAACGATACAAACGCATAAGCGCAAGCAGAAGTGAACTCGGAGTTACGGTTAAAGTTTTTATAAAGTTACGAACCGAAGGTATTTTGAAGAAACAACTATCCTAATTATGTAATATTATATTATTGTATACTAAATTTGAGGACACATGTGTGTGTGCGGGTGTGGCCGAGAGAAAAGAAAGAAAAAGAATCAGGGAGAAGAAGAAAGAAGGAGGGAATGCCTACTGCCCAATCCGAAAGAGGAAGGAAGTGAGGGACCAACCAGAGAAGAGACCAAGGAGGGGAAAGGAGGGAGAGGAGATACGCCGGATCTCCTTGACCCGTTCTTCCCCATCGGACCCGCACGACCCTCGGCGGTTTTCCATCCTTTTCCATCGATTTTTCCAGCGACTCGAACTTCGCCACTACCTAAAAATGAATCATCATCCTTCCCTCTTCCATTTCCATGCAAAACCCAGTTCCTTTAACCCCAATTTGAGGGGAATTGAGATATCAAACCCGTGAGGGTTCCGACGGTTGCCACAGCAAAATCTACGATTTGTGAAGCGTTTCCCTTCAAGTACCACCATCAAAATACTCCTCAGGAGGTCAAGAACAAAGCTTAATTAGTGGTGGAAGCATCAGAGTTGATTTGATGATGAATCTAAACACCCAAATTCTAGGGTTTTCCGGCGGATTTGATGAAATTGGAGCCTTTCCAGGCCAAATTTGCCTTAGTCGCAGGTATACAGTTTGATCTACTTTTTGAGATCTTCATTTCTATATTTTTGAGAATTCTTAGAAATGGTTGGATTTCCGACGAGTTGGGGTGACTGACCGACACTCACGGCGACGCATGGTCAGTGGACCACCAATGCTATTTTTAGGCTATGTTAACTGTCTTGAATTCAGTTTTGATATTTGAATAGCGTAGGTTGATCGTTGGAACCTAAATTCTCTACGATACGTTAATAGGTATTTATATGAATCGACGATCCGACCGTTGGATCGTCACCAAACTTTGTTACATTGTAGTATGTGATAATTGATGAATGTAGGAACTTACGGATTGGGAATCCGACTTATAGATCTTCCCAAATTGGATTTGTAAGTTCATAAAATAAAATGTTAACCGCTAATTAGCTTTGGAAATTGGCGGAGATCCAACCGTTGGATTGTAATGAAACTTAAGTGTATTTTTCTAGAAGCATATTGTGTATCATGAGAAGTTACGGATTGGAAATCTGAGATGCGGATCTTTTGGATCGAGTTTTGTAGGGTTGTGGACCCTATCATTGATCTTCGATCGACGGTTGACTTTTGGTCAAATTATTCTAGAAGGTCCTTGAGGATATGTTTTATGTAAATTATGTATTCTATCGGTAAGAACTCTGAGACGTGATTTGATAATTGATCACAGACGACGATAGTTCGTGATGTCTCAATATTCGTGCGAGGGAATGGTAGTGCGGACCTAAGGTGAGTGGGTCTTTTCCCTTCTATTGTGTGTGTATATATATATATATATATATATATATATATATATATATATATAAGATTGCCATCTCCACAAACGTTTATAAATTGAATATTTCATATAATTTATGTGAATGTTTAGAAGTACATACGTGAACTACGAATGGCTTGATCCCTATTTAGGGTACGTAGGCAGTCTAACGAGACGTTAGATGCAGCCATACAAGAAGTGAGATTAAATAATTGAGACAATAGCATTGTTTGGGGAATTGAACAATGTGAGGGACATTTTTGTAAAATGTGAGTTTTAACCTTATGTGTTGGTGGTTAAATGTTGGTTATAAACCAATGTGTGAAGAATCAAGAAATTTAAGTAAGGAAATGTAAGTAATGATAGTTAATTAAACTACTGTCTAGCTGGGCTTGCCACCGATGATTATCCCTGAAAATAAATAGTTCGGGAGTAGGGCGTTATAGCTTATGCATTTTATGCCATATTATATATATATATATATGTATGTATGTATGTATGTATATAATTGAAAATGCTATGACATGGTTGAGTATTAGATTGCATCATGGTATATTCATATGTATATTACCTACACATAATTATTGTGAATACTTTGAAGTGCAAAGGGGAACACAGGACACCCAGGTAAGTTCATGTGAGTTTATGGTATTAGTTGGATCGATGGAGTTATAGCATGACTACATTTATGTGTTAGGCAACTCCGACACAGTCGTACTGGTTGCCCATGAGTTGTACATGTTATATTGAGATGCATTGAGAGCTCATAAACCTGCACCCCGGTGTTAGTGCTCCCGCTCGTGTCCAGGGCACAGTCCTTCACGTGATGTTCACCTCCCACATCTTACGCTCACCTTGGACTTAAGGTAGGTGCACAGGCATGTCATACAGACCACTATAGGTGGTTCCAACTCGTAGGTGACCCATAATTATTCGCACAATCTTCATGTGATCGTAGCACTTGAGCGTACTTATTTACACCCAGTCCTGTCGTACAGACCATTAGAGGTGGTTCTGACTCATGTGTAGGGATGTTTGATGAGCTATAGATTAAGTCGTACAGGTCACAATAGGTGACTCCCGACTTATATGCTAGCATTGATTGATGAGATATGGATAAGTCGTACAGGTCACTATAAGTGACTCCCGACTTATATGCTAGCATTGATTGATGAGATATGGATAAGTCGTATAGGTCACTATAGGTGACTCCCGACTTATGTGCTAGCATTGATTGATGAGATATGGGTGCAGTCGTACAGGGCACCATAGATGTTTCAGACTTGCGTGCTAGAATGGGTTATTAAGCACCTGATTAATTTTATTGCTAATGAGATGCTGAATAGTGGTATATTTCTTGATTTTATAGTTGTATACATTTGATTTCATACTTCTACGTAGTATGATTTTCTAGAAATTATACAGGTATTACTGATGTGAAAATTAACTTGACACACAAATTAAACCCTAATGTTAACAATCGTAATATATATGTAAGTAGGGATCGTTCTAGACTGGAGATTAACTAGGGATGCTAATCAACACAAATAAGACTTAAAACACTAAATTAGACTCTATAGACTCAAAACTGACTTAAAACACTCAAAACAGTAACAAACAATAAAAAAGACTCAATTCTAGACCTAGCAAGTGATTTTTACGAAAATAAG